GCCATATGCGCAGGTTGAGATTAACAAAAGGACATACTTAAACACTATACTTAAATACATACACAAACACACACACTCACTACACACACACAACACACACAACCATACATACACATCACACACACACACACACACAGCAAACAAACAAGCACACACGCGCACGTAATCATTCTAGCGGCAGTCCCCCCCTCATATAATAATTCAATCTCCCGTTTTCTTTATATCCTCCACCCTCCAGCTCTCTCTTCCTTGCATATATTTCACCACAACTTCCTAATTAACTTAAATATCACCTAATTACCCCCTACTTAGAACTATATACCCCTCCCAATGTACAGCTTCGTCAAATTCAATTACATAGTGACAGAAAATAGTAAAAGAGGTTTTTAAAAAACATCTTAAACCGCATATTTTATTTCCAAGAAGACAAGATGGCGGCGGACCCAAATAAAATTAATTAATTGGCATTATGGCTTTTTTTTTCCTCTTCTTCGGGGGAAAATATCTCTTTGACGAGAACTCACTGTCTCCAACACTAATTAGAATGAAATAATTGGCGTATATAAATATGAACGAACAGAAGAAAGATGATTTTTAATAGTATTGAAATACCGATGATGATGAACAGGACGATATAAGAAGGGAATAGGAAGATGGATAACCAAGGGTAATGGAAAAAAAGGAAAAATAAAGATGAAAATAGAAAAATAAGTGGGGGAAAACTAAAAATGAAAATTTAAAAAACTGAAAAATAAAATGAGAGTTGGAAAAACATGAAAAAAATAAAATGAGAAGTAAAAGAAATGGAGAAAGAAAGAGTGAAAGAGGAAATGAATAGGAAATTGGTTTCAAAACGTAAAAGCGAAAAAGGGAACGAAGGAAAGTGAAAAAAAGGACGAGAAGTGGGTGACACGAGAGAAAGGGATGATGATGATAATGATGATAACGCTAAGAATAAAAAAGTGATGAATAATGTTATGAAGTATATGATAATGATATAAACATAATAACATTATTTATTATTGTCATTATCATTACTATTATCATTACTTAACCAATATCCAATTATAGGCCATTACTTTTATCATTATTACTACACTCTGAATATATGTATATTATATACTACAACATACAACACACACACACACATCACACACACCACACACACACACACACACACACACACACACACACCACACACACGACCACACACATACACACACACACACACACACTACACACCACACACACACACACACCACACACAGCACACACAACACACACACCACACACACACACACACACACAACACACACAAGCACACACACACACACATATGTGTTATATATTATATATATATATATATATATATATATATAGTATATATATATTATATACTATATACGTGGTGTGTGAGAGTAAAAAAAGGCCGGAATAGCACGGAATACGTGAAGAGCAATAGTACAAAAAAAAGAAATGAAAAAAAAAAAAAAAAAAAAAAAAAATCACCCCTCTTATTTTCGGTATGGATTCACCCCTCCCCCCGGTCCCCCTCAATTCACCCCACCCCACCCCCACCCACCGGCCCTCCTTGTCTCGTTTAAATAGAAGAATAACAATTTTCCAGAAAACAACAATACGAACAGAGCAACACAAATGCTATTATGATACGACCGTGGCTGTTATTTTCTCTCGTAAGAGGCGGAAAATAAAAGAAAATGAGGGAGAGAGATAATCCAAAAGCCATAATGTATAAACAATTGTATAGGGATAAGCTTTGAATTGAATAATACAATTGGATTAATAGGATTAGCGAAATGATATATAAACACATATGCAACAGCCCACATCCACGCGCGTGTGTGTGTACATACATACATACATACATAATACATAATTACATACTACATACATACATACATAACATACATACATACATACATACATACATAAATAAAATAAATAAATAAAGAAATAAAACAAACACACTCACACATATCTATCTTTCTATCTCTCTCTCTCTCTCTCTCATATATTTATATTGCCATACGGACAGGAAGAGGTAGAAATGTATAGACAGAGATAGAGATGAATATACGTATACCAACTAAATAAACAACAAGAGAAAGGAAAAATAGGAAAGGATAGAGTTTACAACGAAAACATCAAAATATTGATTTAAAAAAAGTAAATAACTTAGAATAAATAAATAAATAAATAAAAAGGAATAAATAGATAAATAAATAAAAAGAGTGATGATAATGATAAGCCTACACGCACCCTCCACATTAACACACACACACACACACACACACACACACACACACACACACACACACACACACACACACACACACACACACACAACACACACACACACAACACACACAAACCCACACACACAAAAACACACACATACACACCACATACACACCCATACACACCCATATTATTATATATATATAGATATATATATATAGTATATTATATATTATATATATATATATGTCCCCACCACTAATCTCCCTGAAAATTCCCCGCAGCGCGCGAGGTCGACTCGGGAGGTCAGCCGTATAAACCTCCATAATGAGCGATCGTTAGAGGGCCATGTCAGATGCCTCCTTTCATCCCAGTGCCAATACAGTGCCACCTGGAGCGCGCCGGAAGGTCGTCTGGCCTATTCCTTCTCGTGGGATTTTCGACCCTTGGTTGGTGCTTCTCCTCTCCCTCTTCTTCTCTTCTCTCTCTTCTCTCTTTCCCCTCTCTCTCCCTTCCTCTCCCTTCCCTCTCTCCTTCCCCTCCCCCCTTAGCTTCTCTTGGACAGCTGGAGGGATGAAATAGGTTTATTATTTTGCCCCCGGCGTTTTATGAGTCGGTCCGTTTGATATTTCGTCCCTCTGAGAGATTTCTTTTTTATTTATTTTTTATTTTTTTGTTATTTTTTGTCAGTTTTTTTTTTTTTTTTTTTTTTTTTTTTTTTTTAGGTTTCTGTTATTTTTGAGTTGTTTATCGGAAGCCTTATTTTTTTTATTTTGTAATCTTTTTTTTATCATACATTTTTTTCGTTGTTGTTTATTGTTATTTTTATTTTTTTTTGTTCTGTCTCTGTTTCTTCGTTTTTGCTTTGATTAAGATGTTTTGTTTGCTTATTTGCCTGTCTGTTCTTCATTATATTTTTATCAACCAGTCCAACATTTATTAATTTTTAAAGTTTATCAATTTGCTAATGTGACCGCCATCTGACCATCTATCTGTTTCATTAAGTTTATCCAAATATGTATTTCTAAAATTACCTGTCTATTTATACATTCTATCTGTCTTGAATATAGATACGCTAATTAAGTTCTCTAATTTTTTACACCTATCATTTTTTTCTATTTATCTCTCTTATCTCTATTTCTGGATATTCTTGTTTCTTATCTCTCTTTCTATTTATCTGTTCTTCCCCCTTCTTTCCTCCTCTCTTTCTTCTCCCCTCTTTCTCACTTCATCTCTCTGTCTCTGTTTTTCTCTTCTGTCTCTGTCTCTCTATCTCTTTCTCTCCTTTCTCACTCTCACTCTCTATCTCTTTCTGTCTCTCTTCCTTCCTTACCCCCCTCTCTCTCTTACTCTATCTATCTCTATCTATGCTTATCTGTCTCCTTCCCTCTCTCTCTCTTTTTTCCCTCCTCTCTCTCTTCTCTCTCTCTCGGCTCTCTCTCTCTCTCTCTCTCTCTCTCTCTCTCTCTCTCTCTCTCTCTCTCTCTCTCTCTCTTCTGCTCTCTCTCTCTCTCTCTCCATTCCTTTCCCTCTCTTCCTTCCCTACATCTTTACCCACTTACCCCCTTCCCTCTTCATCCTCCTCTTTCCCTTTTCCTCTCCTTCCCCTCTCCTCGCATTCCCTCCTCCCCTCCCCTCCTACCTCCCTCTCTTCAATTTCTCTAACATCCTTAACTTGGGCTTTCCATCATATTCCCTCTCCCCCTTCCCTCTCTTTTCCTTCCTCCTTTCTCCCTCTCCTGCTTATCTCCCCCATCTCCTCTCTCTTTTCCCTCCTCCTCTCCTCCTATCTTCCCCATTTCCCTCTCTTTTTCCTTTCTCCCTTCTCCCTCTCCTCCTATCTCCACCTCTCCCTCTCTTTGGCGTCACTTACTGGGCTGCTTTCCGCCCCGATTTTTTCCTCCTCCTTCCCCACTCTTTCCCTTTGTCTCTCTCTTTTCTTCTTCTCCTACCCTCCTACCTTCTCTCCCTTTCCCTTCCTCCCTCTCTCCCTTTCCCCCCTCTCCCATGGTGGGCGGGGGCCCTCCTCTTCCCCTCTCCTGCCTCCCGTCTCCTACCCTCTCTCTCCTTTCATCTCTCCCTCTCTCCCCTCTCCCCTCTGTTCCGCTCCACACCTTTGGGCGTTCCCTCCTATCCCTCTCCTCCTCCCACCTCTTCCCTTCTCTCTCTTCTCCTCCTATTCCCTATCTACTTATCTCTCCTCCGTCCCTCCGTTTCGCATCTCCCCCCTCCCTGTTTCCTCTTTTTGTATCCTTACTGTTGGGGTATTCCCTTCCTATCCTATCCTTCTCCCCTCCCTCCACCCTACCATTCGCCATCTCCCTCCCTCCTCCCTCTGCCTCTCTCCCTCCCTCCCACCTGCCCCTCCCGCCTCCCCATCTCCCCATCTCCCTCCCTCTCTCCCTCTCTCCCCATTTCCCTCCTCTTTCCCTCTCACCCTCCCCATTCCCCCATCTTCCGCATCCTTTACCTTGGGGTGTTCCCGCGTCGGCACCAGCACCTTGACTGTGACTTTGATGGACTTCTCTTTGGTCACTTCAACTGCTCGTTTCTCCTCACTTCGTCTCCCACTCTGCACTCTCTCTAACTCTGCGGAGGAGACAAAGGATGCGAGTTTATGTTATTAGCTCTGTTATCGGTTATTGTTATCTTTTTTTTTGGGGGGAGGGGGCGGGGTTTGTATGTTATCGTCGTTGGTTGGGGTTACTGTGTACTGTATCGTTATCTCTTGGTATTGGGATTACTTTTGGGTATTATTTTGGGATTTCTAGGGTTATTTGGAAGTTCTAGGGGTGATTTTGTTGTTATTTTGGAGGGTCATCTTTTAAGTTGAATTAAGTTCTTGAAGTAAAGGGAAAAAATCGTTATTAATTATATTTCTTCAATGGTATTTCACCTCAAATTAGATTTGAAGAACATATTCAATGGGTTATTTACCTCAAATTAGATTTTTGAAGAATATTTTTCAATGGTATTTTCACCTCAAATTAGATTTTTGAAGAATATATTTCAATGTTATTTCACCTCAAATTAGATTTTGAAGAATATATTTCAATGTTTATTTTACCTCAAATTAGATTTGAAGAATATTTTCAAATGGCATTTTACCCTCAAATTAGATTTTGAAGAATTTTTTCATGGTATTTTCACCTCAAATTAGATTTTGAAGAAATATATTCAATGGGTATTTCACCTCTCCTTACTCAATTAGATTTTGAAGAATATATTCAATGGGATTTTACCTCAAATTAGATTTTGAAGAACATATTCAATGGCATTTTACCTCAAATTAGATTTTGAAGAACATTATCAATGGCTCAATGTTTTGTACTCAATTAGATTTTGGTATTTCATTTCACTCAAATTAGATTTTGGAAGAATATATTCTAATGGTATCTTTTAAATTAGATTTATTGTGATAGCATTTTACCTCAAATTAGATGAACATTTCAATGGCTTTACCTCAATTAGATTTGAAGAATTTTCATGGCATTTTACTCCATTAGATTTTGAGACATTTCAATAGGTATTTTACTCCAATTAGATTTGAGAATATTTTCATGGCTATTTTTCCAATTAGATTTTGAAGATAATGGTATTTACCTCAATTAGATTTTGAATAATTTATTCCATGTATTTACTCAATTAAGATTTTGAAGATATTCAATGGTATTTTTAACTCAAATTGAGAGATAAATTATTTTCTAATGGTATTTTACCTCAATTAGATTTTTGAAGAATATATTTCGAATGTATTTCACCTCAAATTTTGACGAGAGATATATTTCAATGGTATTTTAACTCAAATTAGATTTTGAGACATATTCAATGGCAGTTTACCTCAATTAGATTTTGAAGAGATATTCCATGTTATTTCACCTCAATTAGATTTTGAAGCATTTTTTTGATTATAAGAATTGAGAGATTCAAGTTGTCAAAATTTGTCAACAATTATATTAAATGTCCTTTACCTGTTTCACTGCAACTGCCCTTAAATATAGACTTTGATAAATAAATGGGGAATTAATAGAATATTAAGAATTAATTGTTACCTTTTGCGTGTTGTATATATTTGTTTGTTTATATGTTCATTAGTCGGTATGTTTGTGTTGTGTGTGTTGTGTGTGGTGTGTGTGTGTGTGTGTGTGTGTGTGTGTGTGTGTTGTGTGTGTGCAGTGCGTGTCTGTACTCATGGTTGGGCGTGTGTGTGCGTGTCTGTACTCATGGCTGTGGGCGTGTGTGTGCGTGTGTGTATCTGTGTGTGTATGTGCGTGTCTGTACATGGCTGTGTGCGTGTGTGTGTGTGGCTCTGTGTGTGTGTGTGTGTCTGTGGGCGGTGTGTGGGCGTGTATTTGCTTTCATCTTCCTCTATATCCGCGAGTGGGCGAGAATTCGAATATACCCGCATGTGCACCCACGCCATATGTACACATGTATGTATACGTATGTGTTTAACGGTGTGTGTCTTTTATTTATGGCGCCAGTTGACACGTTCAGCTCAACAGGTGTGCAAATATTTAACATTCGCAGATATATAACACGGAATTTCAGCGCGATTTCAAAATGGTCGCTCTTGTAACAATTTTGGTAACTAACATTATCACATGTTAGGTTTTTAATGATTAGATGTTCATTGTTATAGATATCGGATATCTTTTTTTGTTTTTTTTATAGTGTTCGTTGTTATTGTTATTGTTTTTATTATTACTTTTTTTGTTGGGGGGGTGGGGGTCGTGATATTGTTATGTTTTTTTTTGTTTTTTTTTTGTTTTTTTTTCGTTAAATGTTTTTTTTTAATCTTTTTTTGGGAGGGAGGGGGAGGGGAGGGAGAGGAGAGGGAGAATCATAAGTGAAATTGCTTTTAATAAAGAAAAAAATTCCGGTGAGGAGTTTTAATGCGTTTGTTCTAATTAAGGAAATTCGTGGATGGGTGAATATCATTGGGGGAAGGGGGGAGGGGGGAGGGGGCAAAGGATATAGTGAAGACCTAATTACGTTTAGTTTCTTAGCCCTTTTCCTCTCCCCTCCCTTTTTCTCCTCTTTCCTCCCTTTCTCTCCCCTCTTTCCTCCCTTCTCTCCCTCTTTCCTCCTTTCTCTCCCCTCTTTCTCCCTTTCTCTCCCTCTTTCCTCCCTTTCTCTCCCTCTTTCCTCCCTCTCTCCCCTCTTTCTCTTCCCAAACGCAACCCTCAATGAACCCCCTCCTCCCCTCCCTCCCCTTCAATGCACTCCCCTCCTCCCCCCCTCCCCCTTTAGCCTCTTTTCCATCTCCCTTCTTTTCCTTCTCCCCTTTTTTCCCCTCTTTCTTTTTTTTCTTCTTCCCTCTTTTCCTTTTTTCCCTCTCCTCTCTTTCTTTTTTCTTTCTCCCCTCTTTTCTTTTTTTCCTTTTTAACTTCTCCCCCCTTTTCCTTTTTCCTTCTCCTCTCTTTCCTTTTTAACTTCTCCCCTCTTTTTCGTTTTCCCTCTTTTCCTTGTCCCGTCTTTTCATTCTCTCCTCTTATCATTTTCCCCTCTTTTCATACTTCACTCTGATACCCCGCTATTGCCCCCCCCCTTTCCCTCCCCACTTCGCCCTCCTTCCCCACCCTTATCCTCCCTCCTCACCTTTCCCCTCACTCTCCCTTCGCTATCCTTACCTCCCTTTCCTTACTTCCACCCTCTCCTCTCTCTTCCTCCTTCTCCTTTCCCCTCGTCCTCTCCCTCTATATATCTCCTTCCTCCCCCGACTTCACCCTCCCCCATTTTGCTCCCTTCCCAATCCTTTTCTCTCCTCATCCTCACTTCTTCCCCTCTTCCCCTCACTCTTCCTCTCCCTCCCTTCTCCCTTCCACCCTTTCCCTTACCCTCCCCACCTACCCTTCCCTCTCCCCCCATCTCCCTCCTTTCCCCTCCCCTCCCTCCCTCCTCCCTCCATCCTCCCCCCACCACCCTATCCCCCTTTCCTCCCTCCCCTTCCCCTTTCCCTCCTCCTCTCCCTCCCTCCTCCACCTCCCACCATCCCACCACCCTTTCCCCTCCCCTCCCTCCCTTTCCCTCCCCACCCCCTTTCCCCTCCCTCCTCCCCCTCCTCCTCCCACCTCCCCACCATCCCACCACCCTTTCCCTCCCCCACCCCCCTTTCCCTCCCTTTCCCTCCCCACCCCCCTTCCCCGCCTCCTAATCTCCAATACGTCATCGCTCCCGCCCTCTTATTTCCTTTATTTCCCCTCCGGATATGACAACGGCAGCGGTGGGGGGGGGAGTAGGGGAAGGAGTGGGGGGAAGGAGGGGGAGGAAGGTGGAAGGTGGTGGTGAGGGGGAAAAACCTGTCCCTATTTTTTTTCACTCTCTCTCTTACGGGTTCTCTCTCTCGCTCTCTCTCTCTCTTTTTCTCTCTCTTTCTCTTTCTCTTTCTCTTTCTCTTTCTCTTTCTCTTTTCTCAAATCTTTCTCTCTTTCTCTCTCTCTCTCTCTCTCTCTCTCTCGCTCTCTCTTTCTCTCTCTCTCTCTCTCTCTCTCTCTCTTCTTCTCTTTCTCTCTCTCTTCTCTTTCTAGCGGCTCTAATCATCTTTTCGTTATGTTTTTCTTTTTTTTTATCATCTTCCATTTTTTTTCTTCATCTTAATCTTCTTCCTTCTTTTTTTCTTTTCTTTCCCCTTTCTTCCTTTCTTGTCTCTTGTTTCTTATTCCCATTGATCTTCTATATTCTTATTCATCAACTTTCTTCGCCCTCTAATTCGCGAAAGGGAGAAGAAAAAGAAAAAGAAAAAACAGAAAGGGGAAAGTAGGAAAGACAAAGATGAGAAAAGAAACAGATAATAGAAAAAAAGGAAGAAGAAGAAGGAAAGGCAAAAAACAGTCAAGAAGGAAGGGGTGAAGGGGGTGGCTAGGGGTGGGGGGGGGGGGGTAGGGGAAGGTGCGGACTAGGGGAAGGAGGGGTCTAGGAAGGGAAGAGAGAGGGGAGGGCTGTGTCGAGAGAAGGGGGAGGAGGGGTGTGGAGATGAGGAGGGGGAGGGGGAGGAGAAGGGAACGGAGAGATGGGGAGGGGAAGGAGGGGAGGAGGAGGAAACGGAGAGAGGGGAGGGGAAGGAGGAGGGGAGGAGGAGGGAACGGAGAGATGGGGGGGAAGGAGAAGGAGGAGGAGGGAACGGAGAGAGGGGGGGGGCCGCGGAGGAGGGGGTGGAGGGGCAACAGAAGCGGTGGAATGTTTCGATATATGGAGCTCATGTTCCTCTGCAACGGCCTTTGCAGGTCGGGTTGGGTGACCGTGTTCGTGGAGGAGGGGGGGGGGGGAAGGGGGAGATGGAGAGCGCTTTTAGAAATTTCCTTTTTCATTTTATTGTTTATAATTTCCACTCAAATGAAGCCAAATAGATCATAGTAATAACATATTATATGCACACACACACACATAATAGCTATCTATCTGTCTATCTATTTATCTATCTATGATTTTTTCTTCCTTTCTCTCTTTCATCACCCTCATCATCATCATCATATTCATCACATATATCCTCATATTCATCACCCTCATTCTTATCACTCGCTTCACCATCACAATCATCATCATCATCATCATCACCCTCCTCATCACCATCATTCTCATCACCTCATCATCATCACCATCCACCTCACCACCCATCCC